GCTTGTCTTTGACGGCCTTCCGAAGGGCAGAGGTCCTTGCAGTTCTTTCTGGCCTTCCTCTTGGACGATTTCCAATCTTTCCAGTCTCTTCAAATCGCTTAATGACGCGATGTACTTGCTCTCGATGGAGTTTGAGCATCTTGGAAATCTCGGATACTGATGATCCGCGTTTGTACATCGCGACTACTGCTGAACGATCGTCAAGCGAAACCATTTTTACAAATGAATAGCAAAGAAGACTGCCCACATTAGGTTCAAAAAATGCGGGAAAATCAAATAACCCCATAATATAGCGAAAGAAGTAAACGAGAAGCCCAGAAATCGATTTTTTATATCTCGTCACACTTCATGTGGGTCACCCTGTAAATTCATGCCTTCTGAGTCAATTTGGAATCTTCTTGAGCATATATTCATCTCATAACCTTCTCCCCACCCAAATTTATATGAACAACTTGAGCTTTATATGAACAATCAGTCCACTCCGCACCTCGACCACTGGCTAGACATTGAACTGGGTGTTTCAGGAATACACCGACGTGCATGTTCCCACCGCTCCACCGACCACCGACGGCGTTCCAGGCCACGTGTTGAGTAGCAGGAAAAATTGCATCCAGGGCCGCGTGATTCGTGAGGGCGCGTGATCCACCGATGGGAACAATGCACGTCGGTATAGTCTGAAAAGGTGAGCTAATTTAAATTTGTCAATTAAATATTTTTACAACTATCACCAATACAATACAACGGCTCGTTCGGAAATACCTAGACGGTAGCTGGAAAACCAAAATTATTTCATCATATTACATGCTCCGGAAGCTGTGTAGCTTTATCAGTGATACACCTGAATATCTTTTTGCAATATTATGAAAGATATGGAAAAGTTGTCCTCCGTTAAATGTCAACAGGCGAGTTGGGGAAGTGTTTTCACATAGTTACAACTTTTTGTTCTTTTTTTTAGTAATTTAGTTTCAATGCTTGCAGCATTCCTATTTCATGTTACCAAGGGGTCTTTTTCGCCTATTCTCCTTTTACTTTGAAAAGTAGCGAAGTTTCTATTTAGAGTATCGATATTAGTTCAGGCAGAGAAGTCAGCAGACAACCAACTGAGCGAATTCACCCTATGAGTGACTGTGAGTAATAAGTGACCTAAACTAAAATTGTTGTTTCATGCCCTTTCAACTTCATTCCTGGGAACTCGATCATAAAATGTGTAAAAGTCAAGCGGCAAAACTCTGTGAGCAGAACGTTGAGTGATTCGAATCAAATTCAGACTCACGATAGCACGGATCAAAATGGATTACTCTAATTACTCGATGTAGACCGCTGCACATATAAAAATAAGCATATTATCGCTTGCCAAGACGTTGAAACTCGGCTTCCAACCAGGGAGGGAAGTCTACTTATCGTGGAACTTTGAGTGGAGACCCAGATGAATCGATAGAGTTTTGAATGCTGTTCACGAAAATGGAAATTAAAAGTGCAAAATGGTTCTCCTTCAAAAGTTATGGAGGCCCTAATTTTGCTCGACAGTTGTATCAATTGGATATACGAACTCGTCGCTTCCATATCAAGTGACCACGTGGCCTCGTGGTAGTGGTCCCGTCCATGGGCGTAAGATGAGGGTTTGCTCGCGGCCATTGTCCGCATTTCTGCAAAGTGTTTTTTTGTTTTCAATTTCATCAATGGCTCCCTAAACGTTTTCTGACATTTTTTCAGTGAACACCTTATTTCTGCTTTTATTTTCTCTCGTCGCCCCTATTCAAGTAAAGTGGTTCTGCACTTTAGTATTATGACTCTTTTTTATTTTAAAATTCAAGGAAAATTCAACAGAAAGTTCAACAGAGATGTGTAAGATGCCTGCAAGAAACTCAACTCAAGAAACAAGAAAACAAAAAAAAAGCGTGAAGCACACATGTTCTTCACAAACCGCGCGCTTTATGCATGCTGAATCCCTATATCCGGTGACAAAACAGTCAATCGTCTCAAGACTGAACGGGATGCAACAGAATTGATCAGAATTTCGAAATCCTTAAATTTTAAAGTAAAAAAGAGTCATACTATCAACGTGCAAAACCACTTTCCTTGAATAGGGGCGACGAGAGAAAATAAAAGCGTAAAAGAGGTGTTCTCCTAAAAAAATGTCAGAAAACGTTTAGGGAGCCTGATGGCGGGGAGCAAACCCTCTTCTAACGCCCATGAAGCAAGACCACTATCACGAGGCCACGTGGGCACTTGATATCGAGGCGATGAGTTCGTATATCCAATTGATACTACTGTCGAATCAACTTCGGGCCTCCATAACTTTTGAGGGAGAATCATTTTGCAGTTTNAAACAGCATTCAAAACTCTATCGATTCATCTATGTCTCCATTCAAAGTTCCAAGATGATTAGACTACCCCTCCTTGGCAAGTTTTCTTTCACAAAACGTTTCCATGCGTGTTGCACTTTAGACAGTCCTGCGGTACGGTAATAGCTAATAGATGATGGTACTGAATCTAATTTGGAAAATTGGATTCAGTACCCAACTGATGTTGGTGTTAATCTTGCCGGAACTCGGTCGCCACGCTCACAGCGCCCGGCCACCGCACCCGTGTGATAACATTGTATCGCTGAATTTCGAGTTCAAATTTATGCCAAGCTTTTGCTGTGGCGCTACGAAAAAGTTTCAGCAGGTCGATTAAAATGACATTTGAATAGCTTACTATGTCAGACAACAACAAGAGCATCCACCGTACTATACCAAAACAAATCTTATTCACATACGAAACTCTTCATTTTCGTGAACTGAAGAACGGCCTAGGTAATAGATGGATCAAGACTCGCTCCTGCACAGAACAGATGCACTGATTTGGCAAGCATATTTTAGCATTTGATTTATGTGAACATGTTAACAAGCTAAAGAACATATTAGCCGTAGTCTATTCGTAACCCATCATTTGGAGTCCATTTAAAATACTGCTTTCACTACTTTATCTTTCTAGAGAGCATGCCAGCGACTGTGGGCGGGAGTAGCAGAGGCCTCAACGAGACAACAATCTCTGTTCGTTTCAGATGAAAATTGCGCTAACCTCTCCGAGAAGACTGATTCATTTGACAGATTACAAAAAAAATCTACCTCATTAGTGTTCTCCGAGCACTAAAAGCGAATTNNAAAAAAAAAAACATCGAGGAAAAAAACTACAAAGGATCAACTTGTTCGAAGACTCCCGAAATCGAAGAAAACTCGTTTCAAAACAAATTTCTAATTGTCCCTAAGTAACTATTCGAGCGTTTGAGAGGACGGGCTTGTTCAGCTTGCTAGCATAAAGAAACCTGATTCACCTCTGCTGTTCCATTGCATGACCGCTTTCTCAGTTTTGAAGAAGTTTTTTGCGGCAACTGCGCTGAAAGGGGGATCCAAGCAACGAACTTGAACACGTCCTGGTGTTGACTGGAAAATAAGTGAATGACAAAGGCAAAGTCGAAAATCGAAAGCAAAAAATCGCATACACCAGATGATGGACTGTAGCACGCCACATGTAATGGTGCTGGCCCTGGGCTAACAGCGAAGTTCTTGATATTCTGCACAACGATCTTTCGATCATATTTTCCTGGAATTGAAAATAATATGCTGGACAAGTGTAATGCGATACAATACGCATGACACTAATTGTGTCACTAATCATGAAAATAGTGGAAGCAGCTTTTGAAAAACGCCGAGTGTAACATGCAAATAAGAAGCCTTCTCAAAGGCCTCGACTTGTAATAAAAGGACTGCTCTATAAACCATAAATTTATCGCGAAAGGAGGGCCATAATCTATAAATCTCGCTTTGGAGATGACTATTTCATTTACCAGTGGCCATTATAATGAAAGAAAATCTATCGTTATACACCATCCTTCCTACATACAAAGCTCTTGCGTCTGTCCGTCAGTCCGCCTATTTGTCTGTGTCTAATGTTCATGAAATGGGTTTTAAATATACTAAATGGACTGCAAAATCTACGAAATAAAGTTGGACAACTGTGTAATGTTCACTTCCAAATGGAAGAAATATGGAAGGGGTTGGAAGACCTACAAAGTGATTGTAAAGTTCATGAATTGGGGTGAAAACCCCTAAGCAATTAGCGTGCTGTCAAGGTTGATGAGTCACTTTCGAAGATGAAGTAAGTAGAGGCCATAACAGAATAAACAATTACCAAAATGGCATCCCTCATGCACAAGTAATTCGCTTCCTACCAATCGAACTGCCGCGCTTTCATCATCCGAAAACTGCGGCATCCACGTTTCCTGAAACGTAGAGGAATTTGATACGAAATTCAGCAGCCATATAGGAAGACGTTCAGCTGAGGACAGCACTGTCGAAAGAGGCTGGGAAGTCAGGAGAACGAGTTATTGTTGGAATTGAAATAAAATATACTCAACTTCCATTTTTCACATTTGATAGTTTACTTCATACCAGTACCAGTCGGATCGCCCAGCTAACGCCGGGCTCTATTCCTCATCGTGTGAAGTTGGCCTGCCGCCCATGCCCTCCCAAATCCGTACGCTCCGGTGAGGACAACAGGAATCATAAATTAACGGACAAGCACACACACACACTTCGTAAGCGCCTTGTCCGCTATGAGAGCAATATATACGCGTCTAGGTAACTCGGATCAAAGCCCTCTCCTATGAATTTCAGTCGTGTCACCTGCCATCTGCATCCCCATATTGCCTCTTGCCACAATAGCCTCTTCGCAAGATAGTCAAGGCCCTACCCATAGTGTAAACTTACCAATGGCCGCTCAATTTTTTACACAATATTCGATGCTGGAGGGAAAGTAGAAGAGAACACAAAAATAAAAATGAGATCCACGCTCAAAGCAAGTCATCATAGAATAGTGATCGAAAAGCTTAGCCAGAATAAGCCTTCCTGATTGAGCATATAAAGGGTGTGCCATAAATATGGTAACATTTCGGAAAAGCGCAGCTTTCTCGATTGGGTGTTTTTATCCGATCTGCACATCGATCATATTTATGCTATACCTGAGCTCACATACCAGCTTTGCTGCTCTTAAATCATTACTTTGGGGAAATGATGGAGCCTCGCTCGCACTCACCAGCAGTTCCGTCTTTGCGCACAGATGGTAATCCTTTCACGAGAACGTTAGCCGTTTGGACATTTCTCGCACGACTATCTGCTGAACCGTGATGCGTGGACAGACCAATAACAAGTTACGAACTACTTCAAAATGCTATAGGCAATTAACTTCTCCTTTAGCAAGTGTCCTTTAGCAAGTGTAGCTTTACTCATTTCTTCTTGGAACAGCATTTGGTGTGAATTTTTGTATGACATTTGTCGGTAGTGTAACATCTAGAAACGTTGCTTCCGTATATAAGCATGCAGTGTATCATTGTCAAATAAATCTCTACCACTAAACAACCGCGACAATTATCTTGCCTCAGTTGCGACCCTCTTTCCTTGATACAATTTAAATGAAGGATTTTGTCGCGAAAACTGCAGAGGTATGACAAAAATGGCTGCCGAAGTGATGGAATCTGCTACTTTGACGGGGAGAGTTTTCCTCGAGCAAATATAAGGGTATCTAGATGAGTTTCAGGAGGTGTATGAGGTTTTGGCGATGAGAATTTCGAGAAGAAAAGTAAATTTAGTACCTTACTCACACGCTACAAGCGCTTCGGCACACTTTCTCGACAAAAAGGTGTTTGGCATAGGAGAAATGTTCAGATCTGGGATAACACCTATGTTTTGCCGAAGCCGATGAGAAGGATAGATCGTCTCCGCAGCCATTTTGCCCCTTCCGTGATGGTCTGGGCAGGCTCTAGTCTGCTCCATCAGATCGATATTGTATACTTTTGTCAAAAAGAGTATGAAAATCAATTAGAACATCTTCACGAGGAACATTTCTGAGGAGGTGATGCTGAGAGTCGGAAATTATCTCACCCTGTACATCTTCTAGTTCGGCAACCTACTAACCACATATCTGTAACTATACAACAAACACAATTATGTCAAAGATTCACGAACCTCTTTTTTAGCGACAAAGGCTGCCACTGGCTTGCCGTCAGTCACACTGAAAACGTTAACGTTGGGTTCAGGCTTACGAGTTGGTGCAGACTTAATTTATCCTGAAATTGGAGCAGCCACCTCAATTCGATCATGAACAACACTAAAACAAACCTTTTGCCCATAAGTGACGTACGGCTCATACGTGATCATATGGGAGTCACGAGGAGTGAAGACAATACGTCTAGTTTTTTTGAGATCCACATTCAATAACTCCTTTCCACCAGCAACTTCGAAAGCACGTGTCCTTTAAAAAAACGTGTGGTGATGAAGTTTGTTGAGAAATAAAAAATCTACTGATACAATTTATATTGAACCCTATCCAATACGGATCATTTCGTGACGTTTCAGCTTTTTGTCGCCAGATGAACCTTATTTGCTCGTTTCAGTAACAGGCCGATCACACCTTCAAAACAGAGAGGAGGTGGGAAGGGAGAAGTTTTACACGGACATCAGGTGGTATCAGGTACCATCAAACATTCTGCTGAGTACCCTCTATTACATCTCTGATGGTAAATTTTTATAGGTAAGATCAAGTGAAAATCTGATGTCAATGTTCATGACGACTAAGCACTCAAAAGAACCGTCATACGTGATTTCCAAAAGTAAAACCTAATGGGATTTCGTAGGAAGCACTACCGTGTATATAGACCATGAAGAATATTTCTATAATCAGTTTGATTAAAATCGTAGATAAGCGGCTATGGACCAGAAGTTTGACGTGACTGTTTCTGTCTGTTAGCCGCCACCTTGAAAGGAGGCATCTTGAAATGGGCCTACACACCTTGGTCCTTTCCGTTTCGCAATTTACTTTTTCTATCTACGTCCGATCGGTTCCGAGATTAGGACTACTGATTCAAACAAATGCTCTCTGTCAAACTCAGAAGCCCGTTCTTTGAATTGATTTTTTCGGATTTTATCAGTTTTTGCTTTATCCGCGTGAAGACCCAAACTGAGGTAGAGGATCTTAACGTTATTACTGTTTTATTACCTGTGGTAGGATGCAGCTGCTGTGGTACTATACTTTTTTGCTACCACTACGAAAACACTTCCTTGACATCCCACTCTGTTTCCCTGATTGTAGTTGTCTACTGATGCCTCAGCGCCATAGTTACGCTTGGTCACTTTGCTAACACTTAGCTTAAGGACAGGGTACCTAACTGTAAAGACTGCCCAAGAAGTTGCAGTTAAAATATTTCATGACTCGACGATTCAAAGTCAGTCACTAGACGGGTAAATGCATTCCCATAATACTATGATGAACGCCTAAAACCGCAGTACTAAAACGAGATGCACATGTATCACCCAACTGACCGCAAATCAATTACGACTTCTTCGAAATGTAATTTCTAGACAAGAACACCCATCCCACGGGACCCACGCCCACGTCACAAGCAAATTAGACACGCGAATTCTGTCAGATATTTAATTAATGTTTTAGTATAACCGCTCCTTTGAAGATTTATTCATTTGGCGGTTGCGTTACACACAATATTCCTCCTACTAGCAAATCAAGGAACGATTTGAAATCAGACATTTAATGATTTTTGATAGTTGATCAAAAAGGCATGATTTCTTCGAACTCACATGTTTAAGGTTTTTCTAGATCTCTCTAAAGTAACAGTACAAAATTGACAAAAAAAAACTCTTCCCGCTACCCTTTTGTCGGAAAAAGCTGAGCGACGAGAAAACAAATATCTTCCGAATTGCGTACTTTGACACAAACAGGACACATTGTCAGTATACATTCAATATTACAAAACTATCATAATAATGAAACAAAGAACTCGTTCTCATGCAACGTACCTTTCGGAGTCACAATAGGCAAAGATATGGCCTCCGTTGCTGAACTGGAAAGCTGAGCACGGATTATCTCGCGATGTTCTGGGAATGAAACATTAGTTAGTATCTGGAAGGGTCGATCTTAAAACCTACCTACTCTCATTGAACAGGACACTAGAGCTGGATGCGAAACCGCGCTTTATCGAAATGCCTCTGCTTCCACGAACTATGACGGTTCAATTTGAAATGTAGCCCTATCGGTGATAGCATAATCACCAAAATAAGTGGTACAAGACAGATTCTACTCACCTGCATAGACCAAATCATCACCCATAATTCGAGTATCACACAAAACGATTAAACATTTAGGATAAGCAGTGGAATGAGACCTTACTACGGTGAAATTGTTCAAGCGGTAGCGTGGGCGCATGTCAGGGAATGTTACTGGAGCGCAGCAACTCTATTCATTTGCGATGGTTGCTCCGACAAGGATGTGCCATTCCTTACTCGAATCCATCATTTGTGCACACAGAAATCTTCGTTCACTCTATGAAATAACTTCCGTGACCGATTCATGGAGAACACAGTATTGAGCTATCTAGCTGTTGTAGGACACAGACCATAGGCTGCTTCAGAAAGTGCGTCGTGCGTCGTTACGTCGCAGAAATGAAATACGTCGGGGGAGGGGAGGTGGTTCAGTGGCTTTTGTGTATCTATATTTATGTGTATTTGAATTGTTATAAGGCAGCAACGTAAAAATAAGCAATAAATGGATAATAATATTTCACAGGGTAAGAAAGTAAGGATTTACACATCTCTACAGGGTATGCACCTGTGTGGCCGGGGTTACTGTAGAATTTATTTTATAAGGTCTGAAGTTAATGTAGTCTCTTGTGTAGAAAGGACTACTGTGTGTGGACCATGGATACTAACTTTTAGAAAAATTTTAGCCTAATTTTTGAAAGAGTTTAGTGGTCACCCCTAGTTGTACACCTATGTGGTCAGGGTAAGTGTGAAGGGTAGAGGTATAAATCCTCGATCCTAGCCCCGCCACCTCTTTGCAAACCCCACCTTCTTCAGACTTCGAACCACATTACTTTTATTATTACCTCCAGACACCTTTTTTCCCGCGTTCTAAAACGCAGCTGGAAGACTTAATAATTTTAATGTATGCCCACTTTAGTGCCAATCCCGTCCACTTCTAGGATTTGACCACATTCGCACTACTACATCTTACCACTTTTTTCCGCATCCCACACGTTTCTGAATATAGTTATAAATTTTAATCTAAGCTCCGCCCACTTTAGTGCCAACCCGCCCACTTCTAGGATTTGACCACATTTGTTATTTTACACCATAACACCTTTTCGACGCATTCTAGAACGTTTTTAAACAGAGTTATGAAATTTTGATTTAGGCCCCATCCTTTTTAGTGCCAACTAAGCCCGCTTCGAGGATTTGGCCACATTTGTTCCATTACCTCCAACCACTTTTTTCCCGCATTCTATAACGTTTCCAAGCAAAGTTGCATTCATTTTTGAAAAGTAGCCTTCGTCTCAACGCACGCCCCGCCCATCGTGAGCGGGACTTCGCTAGGCTTAGACATGCCCAGCACGCTGAGGCCCTGCTCACTCTTTTTACTTTTTCTCCTGGCCTCTGCGGCTTAAGTGAATCGAGTTATGAATACATCTGAAAAGTACCGTCCTTTTTGAGAAAGCTCTGCAAACAGCACGTGGGTCTCCTCCGTCTGGTTTGTTGACCCAATCCTCACCTTTGAACATTTTTCCCCGGTGTTTACAGGTAAAACAGGATTGTGTGACAGACAGACAGAAAGACAGACAGACAGACAGACAGACAGATAAACATTCATACAAACAAACAGACAGAAAAATTGTGGATTATATATTGCAAGGATTAGCATTGTAATCGAGGAAGAAAAACGGGGATGGCACGATGTGATCAAGTCTGGATTAGGATATCACAAGCGCCCGCGGCTGACGTTAACCTAACATGTAAGTAGAGGGAGGGGTCGAAAGAATTGCGCGGATTCAGGGCGTAGTTCAGATAAATTTGAGGTGCCCTTTTTAGGTAGAAAAGTGGAAGTGTTGATGTAGAGGAGTACATCGGTGGTGAAGGAAGCGAGAAAATATGTCTATTACAAGGTTTCCTAAAAGTAGTGGAAGTGGAGATTGTGCGAGATCAGCGTGACGGTAATGGCATGTAAGGGGTATTTGGACAAGAACTAACTTCCTCCCGTTGCTTAAAGAGATGACTACATCAAGCCGAAATTGCCCGAAATTGCCTTTCACTGTCGCCATGGGTAATGACAAGTTGTTCGAACTTCTCATATGAAGTTTTTGAAATAGTGCAGCCCCTACAAAGCCGTTGCGACTCGTCCACGGTGGATATGACATTTACACGATGCAGTCTCTAGCCCCCTCTTGTGCCTTATCCATGATGCTTTTCGACTTTTTACGACCTCGGTGTGAGCTGGAGCCTCGAATTCATACTATAGGGATATATCGAAACCATTTTTATCGTGAACGTGCCTTCAAGATCGCATGGGGTGTTACGCATAGCGCATAGTGATAAAGGTGGCGAGTTCGTCGTTATGCCTCAAACACTTGATCGAGACATAACAGCACTCCATCTCAGCGACTCCTCTGTTTACCGTCGCGTTACTGAGAGAGACTTTTCATCACAGTGTAGTCGCCTCAATTATATACGGCTGTGTGTCGCCAGACCTTCAGGTAATGATGAAAGGTTGGTCAGTGGACTCAAAATGGGTTGTCCGTACTGTCCAGTTTACTATAGCCTCGTAAAGACTCACAAGCTCCACTCCAACGGAGCCGCTGTCTACATCACCGGAAAAGGATCACAAGCTCCGGCCTCGCAAGTAGTCGAATTAGGAGATTGTTGTTTGATCAGTACTGGTAGTAAACACTGTTCGAAAACACACACGGCGGTGTGCATACCTTCTATTCGAAATACCACACATAAATTTTCTGATGAAACTGGTGCCAACCAACTGGCTCGGAGCATCCGAGGATGGAGCACCAGATGGACCATGTGTGTGATAGCACCAAACATGGCATTTCGCAACGCCCACTCACTTATGCATTTTTGTATATAGAATTTCGAAGAAGTACGTGCTGAATATGGACAGACATTTCGTTTTTCGTCTTTACGTGTCTAATTAGCACAGAAAGGATATATGGATATGTTGAGCGTCTACGCGTGAGAAGTGACCTTAAATAGGAACCTGATGGAAATGATACATAATCTCGCGAGAAATCCGGACTTTTCCTAATGTTCCAGCAGTCGATCCACAAACCACTCATTATCTCGTCAGCGAGACCACTCGAAGAAAATGTATTTGGAGGAAGGCTTTTCTCTACAACTGAGTGCTTGAGCGCGAAGCTTGGAGAGCCGACTTATGCTTACAGGCGATTCTTGCTCAAAGGCATGTATTTATTTCAAGCTAAGCCTCAAGAGAGTAAGAGCACCGGGATGGATGAGATATTACGCGGTGCAAAAAAGCTGGGATGAGGTAAGAGTTAGATTCTAAATGGCTCACCCATCCCGGCGCTCCTTCCCACCTAGTCTCCAGGTGAAAAAAAAAACTAAAATTTTCGGCTCAGAAGCAATGATGGGCTCACGATGTAGACCTCCCCTCCTTTTCTGCGCTTCAGCATTCAGTGTCGGAGAGTAAGCACCTCTCCCCTCACTACCCTGCCGCAACAACATTTTCACCGGATCTGTCAATGGTCAATTGTAGAAAAAGGAATTACATAGACCTCATTCTTAACATGTCATTTTGCTGAGGCGTGGGCAGAAATGTTCTCTGTTATATTAAGTAACCAGTTGCCGATTCTTGCCGCATTCTTGCCGCACGCGCAATATAACTTCAAATTTTGGCGGCTGTCAAATCGGGCGATCGTGATTGTGACTGTGCTTCTTAGGTGTGTCATTAGTTAGTTGCCCTTTTTGTCAGAACCCTTTCCCAAAATTCCGCGTTTTCGAAATCTCAAGACTTTTTTTTNTTTTTTTTGCAGAACGGATAAGACTGCTTTAAAGACGGTTCCACTTCACTAATTCAAGCTTGATCGAGCTGCAGAGGAGGCAGTCACAAACATCAACGTTTTATGGGGAGAAGGCATGGCATCAGAGCGAACGTTCTCCACTTGTTCAAGGAGTTTAGAGGTAGAGACGAGGCACTGGATGACGAAGAGTGAGTTCGTCGACCATTGCTAGTTGATCTCGGTGCTTTGCTAAGAGCACTAGAGGAAGGTTGACGTCAACCTTTGAAAGAGATTGCCAAATGTACGAGCGTTTTCCATACAGTCGTCGCTGACCACCTCGAGCAGCTTGAAATGTTGAAGGAACTTGACAATGCTGCTAACACTTGTGAATCACCATAGTCCACCGAATCAGAACGACAATGCGCGACTGCATGTGTCACAAATCGTTTTCCAGAAGTTGAATGCGCAGCGGATCAAAGCAAAGGGATCCAGATCACCGGGCTTCTATAATAATGAAGTTAACAATTTTGCATCACGTTGGCGAAATTTAGAATCGAATGGGAATTATTTTGAATAAAAACCTCCACTTTAAGATAAGTATAATTTTATGAATAGTAGCCGTCAAAACAGCGAGAACCTTCCTCACAACCTCATGCACCTTGATCCTCCACACCACTTAGAGCCATTTTTGATAAAAATGCAACATTTAGTGAAGTAAGCTTTATCTATCCTGCCTTTTTTGCCATGAAAAGGTCTCGTTCCTTCTACGATTTCGAAGGGCACATAACATTTGTCATGACTATTACACCATTTGTATTCTAACCAGTCGGATCGCTGAGTCGCTGAGCGAGAGTATAGATTATCAAATGTCTTCAAAGATGTAGCTTCTATTTCTTCGGATACATCATTGAATGAGAATTCAACATTATTAGCGGTCGGAGGGTGTGTGTCAAGTCGTGCGTCCGAGGGTGCGCGCGGCAAATTGCGCGGCGAAGTTCGTGGCGAATTTGGGCGACTTCGGCGCCTATCATTGGGGCCCAAATCTGAAGTAAGGTAAATTAGTAAGGTCAGCTGATCCT